ATGCAACTTGATGACTAGCTGGAACATAATTGACAAGAATTTGTTTAGCAACGACTTTTTCCCTCACAAAATGCACATCCAAATCAACGTGCTTAGTCTTTGCATGGTACACTGGATTGCTACTCATGGTAACAACACCATTATTATCGCACCAGACTACTGGTACACTCTGTTGTGTAAGCCTCATATCTGAAAGAAGTGCGCTGACCCAAGTTACCTTAGTTGCTACATCTGCAACACTACAATACTATGTCTCCATGGTGGATCTTGAAATAGACTTTTTTTTCTTGAAGGTCTAGGAAACAAGGTTGTCGCCTACAAAAACACAATATCCTGATATCGATATTCTATAATCAGGACTACCACCCCAATTTGCATCAGCAAATGATGTCACCCTCACATCCACACTATAGGGAGACAACAACAATCCATAATCAAGTGTGCCAACAAGATAACGAAGAATCTGTTTTACAGTAAGAAGATGATCCTAACATGAGGCATGCATATACTATGCAACTTTAGTTACACTAAATGTGATATTTGGGTGAGTGTAGCAAGTACACAACAACGCTCCAACAATACTACGATATTACTTAGCATCACATAGCAGATCACTAGCATCTCGTGACCACTTGGTTAGTGTCATAGGCGTTAGCACAAAATTAGTTGTATTCATATTAGCTTTCATCAACATCTCAAGTATAAACTTGTGTTTACTTAGAAAAAGAGATTCCCCACATTTCTTAACTTCAATACCAAGGAAGTAGTTAAGTTCTCCAAGGTCCTTCAATGAGAAAGCAACACCCAAGCATTGAACTATATCATCAATCTCAACATCTGAAGCTCCAGTAATGACAATATCTTCAACATACACTAACATATATGTAAAAACACTCATGTTATTACGAATAAACAGTGATGTATCAGTTTTAGATTCAACAAACCCTAGTTGAAGTAGACATTTCTTTAATCGAGCATACCAATTGCGAGGTGCCTGACACAGTCCATATAATGCCTTGTGCAGTTTACACACAAGTTGACTGCCATCCTCGGCATATTGTTCGAACCATGGAGGTTGTTGCATATACACCTCCTCATGCATATCTATATTTAAAATTTCATTATTAATGTCAACTTGACGCAGTTGTCACTGTCGAGCCACATCAAGAGACAAAACAACATGAAGTGTAGCAAACTTAACCATCGGACTAAAGGTCTCATTGAAATCATGTACTGGGACTTGAGAGGACCCTTTAGCAACCAACCAAGCCTTGTAGCGATAAACCAAACCATCAAGATTAGTTTTCAGTTTAAAAGGCCACTTACACCCCACAACTTATCGTCCAGGGGGTAACTTCACCATAGTCCATGTGCCATTACGCTGCAAAGCATCAAACTCAACATGAATTGTTGTTTTCCAGTTGGAATACCTCAACGCTTCATACACATTAATAGGTTCCACAGTTTCAGAAGTCACTACAAATGCTTTAGGCTTAAAAATGCCACACTTTCTCCTCCTGAGCATAGGGTGACTATTCATTGCAGGTGCAGGTGTAGCTAAATGCTCAGGCATATTGGTGACAACATTAACAACTTGTACAATTATCTGATTATTAGAAGCCAAAACTTCATCAGACTTAACTGTAGAAAAACGTTCACCAGCCACTACAGGTGTTGACTCAGAACTCCCTAACTCAACCTGCACATATCTCTACAGTGTATCACTAGACTCAGCAGCACCCAGGTCAGTCAACGAAAAATCAAGTTGAGCAGCTATTGCCTGTAACCTTGAAATATCAGCTACAAATTCTAGTTCAACTGACTCATTTATAGATAAATCAGATACACATGCTGCAGGAGACTTGTTAGAAAAACTTGCAAATGAAAAAACAGATTCTTCAAAAACTACATGACGACACACATAAACTCTCCCACTTGAGGCAAGACAAATATATCCTTTGTTTTGAGGGCTATAACCCATAAACGTGCACACTTGAGATCGAAACTCAAGTTTATTTGTTTGAAACGACCTTAAAAGATGAAAACACTTGCACCCAAACACTTTCATTGCAGCATAATCCGATTTCTTCCTAAAATGTTGCTCACATGGTAATATTCCTCCTAGCACTTTAGTTGATAATCGATTAATAGTATAAACTGTAGTCATGGATGCATAGAGCCAATACTGCACAGGCATAGAGGCTTGAGCAAGTAGAACTAAAGCAAGTTCAATGACATGCATATGCTTCATCTCCACAACATCATTCTGCTCAGAGTGTGAGGACAGGTAAGGCGGTGCACAATGTCATCCTATAGTAAAACTGGGGATAAAATTCTGTATTCTCAACCTCAATCACTCTAAACTACTTTAATAAAAACCCTAAACTAATTCATAACCAGTTTATGAAACAATCGAAACACTGAAACAACCTGAGACTTGTTTTGCAGGAAATAAATCCAAGTGTGCCTAGGATATGCATCAATAAATGTTAAGTAATACTTAAATCCTCTGGAAGCAACATGAGCAGGACCCCATAGGTCAGTAAACACCAACTCAAATGGAGTATTATAAATAGAAGTAGAAGAAGGAAACAACAACTTATGATTTTTGCCAATGCAACAAGCATCACATTTTCCATTAACATTCGAAGGAATTTTTATATCAATGACCTTACAAGTTATGACTAAAGTATTATAATTGACATGACCTAGACGTCTATGTCGTACATCATATAAGCTAGAGTCATGAGTATTAGAAACATTAGCATATCCTTTATTACAAACACCTAGTGAGCAATCTTCTAAAAACACATATAGACCGTCTTTAACCTTTCATATAAACATGACCTCAGTCATAGAGATATCACAAACATAACAGGCATTTGAGTAAAACTCAAAGTAAACTCCATTATCCCTAGCACACTTTAAAACCGAAAGCAAATTGTTCGTTACACCAGGCACATACAGAAGATCATTTAAGAACAAATGACGAGAAGAAGAAGGTAACACAACAGTACCAACCATATTAACCTTCAATGAAACACCATTTCCCATAACTAAATTACCTGGACCAAAGTGATCAACCTGAGGATTGACATTTTTAGACTTAGGCGTGACATGGTTCGTGGCACCTGGATCTATCATCCACTAATTAGATGTAGAAGCAAGATCTGCATGAGCTAAAGGCAACTCATCACGCTTCTTAGCATGGCAGCAATCACAACAAAAAGTGTCACTAACCGCAGCATGTGCATTAGTTGAATCCTACTTAGAACGAAACTGACCACCATCATCAGTAATACCGGTGAACATCTCATCAAACATGTGCCAACATTTGTTGACCAGATGCCCAACCTTTCCACAAAGTTGACAATAGACACGTGGCTTCCCTCGACCATGGCCCTTAGAACGATCACCAGTATAAAACCGTTGTGGCTGATGGTGACCACCACCATCAAGACCAACCACAGCACCACGAGCAACATGAGCACTGGCAATACCACCCTCCTCCTGAGTAGCAAACCCAACAAGTTGTGTTTCAGCATCAATAAGCATAATATAAACTTTATCTAAGGGAAGAGAATCTCCACAATAAGTTATGACAGCTATGAATGGTTAATAATCCTTTGGAAGCCCTTTGAGAATATTGGCAATATGGTCCACAACAGGAACATGACTGCCACACGACGCCAAGGCATCACAAACTTCTTTAACCCTAGTAAGAAACACCCGTATAATATCATCGCCCTTCTTAAGAGACTGTAACTTATAGTGCAAGTTCATAATAGAAGTTGTAGATCTATTAGCAAAGAACTGAAGTACCGTACTCCAAATAGCAGCAACTGTTTCAGCACTAACAAATTGAGGTAACGAGTGAGCACTAATGGTAGACAATAGGTAGGAGGCCACAACTATCTTGAGCAACAAAATCCTCATATGCTTCATTAGAGATCAATGTTCCATTCTCATCAGCAATCATCGCAGGCGGGGCTACATCTCACTGGTAAGCAATCGTTCAAGGCGATGACTCCTTACAGTAAGAAGAACTTGTTGTTTCCATAAAAGGAAGTTCATCTCGTCAAGAACCACATTCACCTTCTTATTGGTAAACATCCTAACACTACTGTAAGAAGCCACGAACGAAGCACCACACGAAAGAGCAAACGCAGCAGCCGAAGCACACCCCTCAGAACGCATCCAAGCAAGCTCCAGGATCTTTCGCGAAATATACCATGTTAAGAAATTCACAACAAGTAAAACAAAAGTATATTCTCTTTCACTTCTTTTCAACAATACAATGACAAGCTTATATAGGTAAAACTATAACCGACTACTAGCCTAGCTGACATAACCGTCTCCTAGCTGGCAAGCTTAACAGCTTTGATAACAGCTCAAACAAACTTCACAAGCTTTCAGCAACACACCAACTTCAGCTACATGCAACACACCAACTTCAGCTACACGCCAACCACAGTAACTGCACACTAGTTCTTATTCTCTAATAGGTTCATAGTTTTGATATTATTCAATTTAACCTTCAATTAACATTATTCATATGCATCTAAGTCTTTGAAGTTCAATATCATTTCAATCAAATCATTTAAGTGTAAAATTTTAAAGTTAAATCATTGAAGTATGAGTTTTATTTAATCAATTTGAATTTATTACTAAAACTTCCAATTTCAATTTCGAGATGTGACACCACTTTTATAAGACAATTTAGTAAAACAAAATAAAATATTCAAATTTCTTAAAATTTATTGCATGATCGAATCACGCCACTATATTATGCTCTATTTACTAAAGGGGATAAGCGTTGTTCCCTTTCTTGACCTGCAAGGCTGCAACAGTTCTACTCAAATGACACACAATGATAAATAGTTCAAGGACTCAGATGCATTGGAACAATGTTCTAAATACAACATTGTAGTTAGGCCATTAAGTTGTGGTCTAAATACAGCCCTAAACCATTTTATCTTCCATTTTTCTAAATCTCATCGATGTTGCTTCGCCAAAATACCATGTTGGTGATTTTTGGTCGCCATACACCACCGTCATTTCGTCTCCAGTCGCGATGATTTTAGTGTCAAAAGTTTACACAATACAAGGAATAGGATGATATGATAAAAAAAAATTTATTAAGACTTTCCACAAAGATTAACTCAGATTTTTCTAAAGTTTTTGTTTTATTTTCAGTTTGAATTTACTCTTTAGATTTTAATTCCAGCTTCTCTTTGAAGAGTAAATTTTCATCTTATTTACTCTTTTTAGTTCATCCTTGAAGATTAAATCAAATTTAGCTTTCAAGGATAAAATCTACGTCATGTTTACCGTTTAAGTTTCCTCTCGGAACTTAATTTCAGATTTTTTTCGGAAGATAAAGTTTTCATTTTATGTGGTTGTAAGGAGATTTACGGTATCAAAAATCCTTTGTCATGATATTTAGGTGATGAGTAGTTAAATTTGTTGATTTATTTAATTATTGTGTTGTTTAACATAATCTGTTAATTGTAATATTTATATTTTTGTTTTGATACATGTTTGTACTTTGAGAATACACTTAATTCTATAATTGATCATGTTTTTTTTTAAATTATCTAGATGTAGGATCGATTTGATAATCAAAGGTGTTCAATTAAAGTATGAGACTATAGTCTTTTCAAATTACATTTAACTTAACTGTGGCATACATTTGAGGTTCATTTTATGTTTGTATACGTTTTAAACAATTTAGGCACTTGATTTTTTTTCAAGGATCATTTGGGTGATCAATGTGATTTAGATTCCAGATCTAAATCACATTGATTTAGATCTAAATTCATGTCTTTTATATCAACAATTACAGGTTATTAACTGTTGTCTATCAAGAAAAAGAAAAATATTGCAGCTGAATCATTTGATTTAGAAATGATGGAAGCTATTTCAAATATCAAAGAATCAGATGTTTCTATGGGCACAATGTCCGTCAGCTCTGCATTGTATGCACGAGTTAAGACTGGAGAACTTGTTCTTCGGCAGGGATATAATCAATTGATTGAAAATTTAACAATTTTGGAAACTGGTGAACCGATATACTCACCTATTACCCAGGTTTGGTTGCAAATTCTACCAGTAGGTTACCTACCTTAAAGCCTATTCCCATGCTTGAGTGTGTTTATGTATATGTCTTTAGGAAGGACCTTTGCTTACAGAAGATCTTATTAGAGAAACAGAGGAGTTAGTGCTTCGGACAGGGAGGTCAGTATATTGTCTAAAAACTCCTTAACCTCTTGGCACATTATTTAACAGTATAGAATACTAATACTATTTTCTTTTGATGATAATATCTTAATCTGTTTATTGCATAAGATTTATTCTTAAATTTTAATATAGATCAAAGTTCCCTTTTTGTTTTAAAACATTGATGGTTACTTACAGGATCAACCTATATAACGCTGTTATTTATGTTGATTTTTTGTAATTATTCTCTTCTCTTTTCCATCTTTCTGTTATACGGAACACAGTTTTTTTGTCTGGTAATCATGATACTCTGTGTAGTTACATTATTCTTGTTATCCTATTACTCATTGCCTTATCTTTTTTGGGTTAGTGTTGGTGCTGGGTGCTCTCGGCTCCTTTCTGACATGCAGGGTTTCAAGGTGATATTTTAGCACAAATAAATATCCTCTATCTTACTGCTATTGTAGATGCATATGGATGCAAGAGAGACTTCTTTCAACCTTCAATGCTTAATCTTTTTCATTCAACAATTTTGTTGTTAGGCTGCAAACCCTGGCTGTGTTTTAGAAGATTTTGTTAGATGGCATTCTCCTCCTGATTGGATTGAAACTGAGGCAAGCAATGATGTTACTGGTAGAAGAGGTCAACTAAGTAGTAGAATGCAAAAAGAAGGTTTTTCTTGGTATCCCAGTTCCTAAAGTTTCCTGCATTTTAATTTCTTGTTTGTTAGGTCTTTCTATTGATGAGAGAACATTGATTCATTGATTGCAAAATGGAGTATGTTTGTTTGAACTCATATTACATTCTTCTGTGATTCGTATTGGTAGCATGTTTCATGTACAACATACTCTTCTAGTTGTTTGTATTCAAAACCTGCTAATAGAGTCGCTTACCATACTTTTGCTATAGTTGGCTTTAATATGTGAATTATGCATATTTGTTAGGTAATTTGTGGCGTGAACTATGGGAGACATCCAAACCCGTACCAGCCATTAAACAAACACCTCTCTACGATGAGGATATGGCAGTGTAAGTTGGACTCGTAATTTTTTATGTTACAACTCATATATTTTCTATAACGGGAGCATATTTCTTACAAGAATGGCATGTTTTATGGTTGCTTTAGGGAGGGAATCCTGCATTTCTTTGAGAACATTCCGGTTACTGATCTTTTTCAACAATTGTTTCTTTCTCTTGTAAGTGTTTTAACCTAGATAGATATGATCTTTTCTTTATTTATAGTGTCTTATTCGAACCATCTGTTCAATTTATGCATCCAAACTATGGGAATAGGAGTTCTCTGTAGTTCTACTTTGTTTCTAGAACATGATTTGACAGTTATGTTCCTTTAATTTAAGTGCAAGTGTCGGGATCAGGTGTGCTTGACACGAGTATGCTCAATTTTCTCTAGATGATCATATCCCCGTATTCTGTTAGATATGCATTAGACTCAAGTGACTAAGAACAATGAAGAATTACGGTAACTTAGGTCAGTAAGAACTATGTTGCTTGGACCGACTATTTTTCATGAAATACCTGTGGCCAAATGCATATACAAACATGGGTTTAGAGATATGACTCTAGAAGGATATTCCAAATAAAAAGAATCCTTTTTTTAAAAAAAAAAATTGGTATATATGTGTCAGACACGAATCCCGTTTTTTATACTTAAAAGAATATCAATAATATGATTTTATTTTCTTATTTTTAAGTTGAATATCATTACTCACCAGTCATTCCAATACTGATATCCCGTAAATGTCAAACACATGTACTTTAGGAAAAAAGAATAGTGGTGACATAGTTTGAATGAACTGTTACTCCGGCTTTGTTCTTCTTGAAATGCCTGTTATAAGCATATTAGGGACATGAAATTAGGGATATGACCTAGCAATACATAAAAAAAATTAAGGAAAAACGAATATATCCGCAATACACATGCTTGCATCCAACATTCACACCCGAATAAAAGTAATATAGGACAAAATATCAGTAATTAGGTGTTATTTTCTTATTTGTAAGATGCATATTATTGTTCTTACAAGTCATTCTTCGTAATGCTAATATTTTCAATTACGTAATGTTCAGCTTGGTTTGGGATTTGTATCAGCCGAGGACAAGCTCCCTGCTGATGAAAACTTATCAAAGCTGTTTTACAAGTGCCAAGGCTTTGTTGTTGCAACTTGCCAGAGAAATGTCTGGAACGATAACTGGACGAGCTTTGCCAGGTGGGTTTCTATTTCAATTTAGCACCTTTTAATGTTCGAAAAAAAAAGAAACCCTCAGTTTTTTAAACATATCAGACTGATTTCCAATCAAATAACGGCATGTGTTTGTTTCCCAAGGAAAATTTGGTTTCTTGGCATGCAAGAAAACCGTTCTTAGCTACTTGTCCTGTTTACCCTTTTTCTCATCTCATTTAATAGGTCTACGAGACAGTGGAAACAATGTTAGCGTCTCCTGAAGAAGTCATAATGACATTAAAGCAGGCAGAAGAGACACCGATGCAGGAAAACGGAAGTCCTACTGACAGTGAGCTAAACCATTGCTTTTTGAAGCTCGGATTCATATTCGTTAGCAAGGATGAAGATTAGGAAAATAACTAGTCGCAAAGAAGCAAAGAATTCAGATGAGAATCCCTCCCTTCCATTTGGTAGTCTTTTTGTTTTAGTAGCAAATCATATTTATTTTCAAAGATGACTCCTAAAGATAAGAATATCCCATAGATGAGTTTGGGTTAAACTTAAACGGCGTAGTTTTGTAGGTAATTGTAAATTATTGTGAAATGAGATGATGGCAGAAGTAATTTGATTTACTTTTTCTTCGTAATTCTCGATCCTGTTCCATAAGCATCCCGCATTTAATGCCCTAATTATATAATTGACGTTTTGCCTTCGAAAAGCTTTAACATTGATATTTTTATGCTTAAAAAATTAAATATTAAGCTACAAAAATGAGATCAAAGTCTCTAAGCTTGTTTATAGAGAAATGAGTGAGCAAGTTTGATCTCACTTTTACATCAACTTGCAGAAACATTAATTTAAATGGCCAATGTATTATTCTTTTTTTTATTATGGTAGAAACTTGAGAATTCATGTATTTCTCAAATTTCAGTTTTGTTTGATTCAAATTCAATAGGTTGAATTGAAAGAGATGCAACCATAACCAGCAGATGAAAATTAGAGGGAACTCTGTCTACAAGTGAAGGATCGTTAGCGACATAGCTTGTGAAAAACAGAAATGTCGAGTTAGGTTTTAACTGAGGATATCAAATTGAAAGTTAAATTAGATGTGAGAACTAATATAAATGAAAATTTAAATTCAGAAATAAAACAGTGAATGTTTTCAATATTTAATTTTTAAAAATAAAGATGAACAAACAATTAAATTAAAATATAATTATTATAAAATTTCATTACAGAATTATGTAAATATAAATAGTAAAGTTGATAAAAAATTTCATAACACAAAAGTTGTTTTAGTTTATAATAAGAATACAATATTAATACATAATAATCATCAACTACATTTAAAAAAATACGCAAAAAATATTGTTGTTTGCAAGAGCACACAAAAACATCATTAAATAAAAATTATGTTTAGTGATATTTGGGGCCTTCAAACTTTTAAAAATAATTAGTGTAGCCAAAAATGTCATTAAAATAAAAATTATGTTTAGTGGTATTTGTGGCCCTCAAATTTTTGAAAATAATTAGTGTAGCCCTTATTCTTTTTACGACTCAATGCGACCCTTAAACTGATCAATCTAATCGTTTGACCGATAGAATCGAATCTTGACTGTCAGAACTCTTACATGACATTTCATGAAGCTTACATGATAATCTACAATATTGATGTGATAATTCATGATATTATTTTGGCAGTACACAATGACAATGATGTGGTAGATGAACTTAATTGATTTTTTGGCTAAGTTCGAAAGCCTAATTGATTTTTAGGAAATTTGAATACTTATTTAATATTTTTGAAAAATTAAAAAATTATTTTAAATATTAAAATTTAAATATAAAAAATTATTAGGATATTCAATACGTTAAATATAAAAAATACTAAAAAAATTAAATTATTAAAAATTTAATTTAAGAATCACATTGAATGTAAAAAAAAATACTTAAAGATCATATTGATAAAAATTAGCTGACCCTTATTCCTATATGTAATAGGGTAAGGGGAGGTAGGATAGTAGGATGCCCCCAACGCCAGGTTGAGAGCAACTTCCGTAGGAGACCTCGGAATTATGAAATGCCCTCCGTGGGACTCGATCCCACGACCTCAAGGTTAAGAGCCTTGTGCTCTACTAACTGAGCTGGATAGTCATTTCTTAAAGACCATATTGATGTTTTACAAAAAATTGAAGTTTCTGTATACCATTAAGTCAACATATTGTTGTTAGAAGATTTTAACCCATTTAAGTTAAGTTAAAAATATAAATCTCATTTTTTTTTTCATTTTTTCAAAATTTTAAAATAATTTTAATAAAAATATGTAAATATAATTTTTGTATTTTTATATTTTTCAGATATTTTTATTTTTCAGAAATCGTATATGAAAATAATAATACAATAAAACTATTTTCACTTATATTTTTTATTTTCATTAGAAATCATTTTTAAATTTTACAAAAAATATATATTATTTCTTAGAATAATTTAATAAATTTTTTATTTATGAAAAAAATAATAAATCATTTAAAAAATAATATACATTCTTTGGACAAAACTAAAAAGTAATTGTGAACAGAAAAAATAATTAAGAAAATATTAGGCTAAAAATTAAAATGTATAATATTTATTTTGTTACGTGAACATAACAATTTATAAACAAAATTTAAATTATTTTTAAGGTGAACATCATTCAAATTATTTTACGAAAATATTTTTTTATTTTGAAATATCTCATTTTAATCCGAAAATATTTATATGTAAGTAAAAATTATTATTGGTTAAAAATTTTATGGTTGAGCTCCACAGTTCGAGGATTGAACATGGTTATGGTACCACTAAATGTAACCATATTAACCCTATTTAAAAAAATTAGGTCGAATATAGAGAATCCAATTAAAATCCATTTCCCTCGATGAAAACGAGTTTGATTCAAATTTTAAAATAATATTTATAATAAAGTAACAATTATCAAGGTCAATAACTCATAATTTACTAAAATAAAATATTTGAGGAAAAATTCAATATAAAAAATAAATATTTCTAAATCATGCAAAAGAAATCTTAAATATTGTAATGTCCAAACTCCCAAATCTCAAGTAAAATAATACCAAAATAATATAAGAAAAAATTCAACAAAGAAAAATCAAATAAAATTCATATTGAAATAATGTTTTATCTAAATAATGGATGTGATTCTCCAAGTGTAGAATGTCTTAAGTCCGAGTATTTGAAAGAGAACTATGGGGTGTAAACTATTAAAGTTGTGTGTTTCTAAAGTGCAACGGTCACAAATCAAACATAAACCGAACAAAAAAAATTCAAAGTCCAAATAATATGCAGATGATTATGCACTCATACACCTTACACGGTCCGAAGAGTAGGTTCCAGAATCACTCTAACTATAACACACCATTTGAAATGAGGTCCGACACAAAGGTAGAAGGCCATTGAATTCCAAGCGACATTCACCCCTGGAGTGAATGTACTAAACTTCTCTAATCAATTCAAACCCAGTATGACATGGCAAAATAAAATACAAATCCGATTTTCGATCCAATTCGACTATAAAAATATTTACATAATCAAATATTCTTAATGCATTGCATATATTCTGAATTCAACATATCAACATAATCAAATATTCTTAACGCAAAACATATATTGTGAATCCGACATATCAATATGAATCACGTGACAATTTTTAAATCATATTTATTACAACCAATTTTCATAAAATAGTCAAACCCATAATTCAACAGCCAAACAATCAAATAATCACATAAATAAATATAGCACAAAACAGAGATACAATTTAACAAATATTCTAACATTTTATAATGTCTCGTGGGACTCTAAGAGTGGGTCATCGGGTCCTACAATATAGTTTATTATTAAATAAATTATCTAATTCAACGTCAAACCAAATCTAAAACCAATATCCGCTAATACTCACGGTCAATACGGGAAACACAGGTCAGTTTGAAATTAGCGAATAACAGCGGAGACTGTAATTTCAATTCTGATTCAACTTCTGCTGCAAAAAATGACATCCAACTTAATATCTTCAATTCATCAATTCTGATTAACAAAGCAAATTAAATGACATTTAACAAAATTATCGGTTCGATACGGGGGAACCAGGTAATGGGGTTTTGATTCAAACGATGGTGGCGGTCGAGCAATAGAGGGGCAGTAGGGAGCAACCGCATGGACGACAGAGGGTTCCCACGGGTGGCGGTAGGCACACTAGGGGCGGCAGAGTGCACCCCACGACCAACCAGGGTGCTGCCAGCCCGCACCAGGCCGGTTACGCCTTCTTCGACGAGTGTGCGACTAATCAGAAGCTACAACAATTGCGAATGACTATGAACGGCGGCTGAGCAATGAAAAGAAGCTGTCGTCGGTCCTATTTAGGGTGAAGAAAAAAATCGGCGATGTTTAAATGGTCTGGCCTAGGAGAAACAAGTGGTGAGGAAGAGTGGCACTCACTAGAGATTTAACTTAATGGGGATAACGGCAAGCCAAGGGAGGAGCGACGACGTTGCTAGGGTTTTGGCGAGAAGCACAGAAAATTTGGAGGACGCTGCGTGGGAGATATACACGATGAGGCAGAGTTGTTTCAAATTAAAATTGAGTTAATTATAAATGTGATCCCTAATTTATTCAGGGTTTACGAAATGGGCCTATACTTTGTTTTCTTTACAAAAAGTCACCAAAATTCCTTTAAGTTTCAATTTAATTCCTAGGTCCTATTTAGGGATTTAGACAATTCCCCTAAATTTTAAGGTTTTCAATTTGGGATTAAAACAGGGTGTTATATTATCACTCTTTGCAGTCCAACTGATTTTTCTATAAATTAGTATCCGTTTTGTTTAGCGGAATGAATGTCAATCGTCCAAAATAAATGAACCGGGCCATCATGTGAAACATCCACTTCAAGCTTCCTGAAAAGATGGCTAATGACAGAAGCATATGGTAGTGAAGTAGTAATGAAATCATCCTTACCCACTAAATTAACAAGTGTAGGTAAAATGATTTTTGTAATGTTTCGACATGTTTTTGATCTATACTTCTCTAACCACCAACAATCTATATCTCGAATTTACGATGTTTTTTCACCAAAAGTTCGAATAAACTAAGAGACAAGAAGCTGAAACAATCTGACCTCCAAATCTATATTAATTGAGCTATTCATAGACACACGGTGAATACTCTCTAAATCATTTTTATAGAAATTCCCTTCATTTTTAAGATCTAAATCGGTAGCAAGGGAAGCTATATATATATCCTTTCCCATTACATAAGAAATAATTCCTATTATATTGTCCATATTATGCTCATGCACGACTGATGCATTACTGAAGAATACTCGAACAAGTTTAAGAAAATATTTAGGCTCTACATTAACAAACTCAAGCCAACCCTAATTTGTAAATGTTTCTTTAAAACCAAAGTTATGTATAGGAATGAACATGAAATCCATTTCCATAACACGTTCAACAAGAATTTTTCTTCCTTTAAAATGCTTAGAAAAATTTTCTTTCTCTTCCTCGCTTCTAAAGTTTAATGCATCAAAATACTTCTCTTAAGAAGTACTATGTTAAG